CTATAATAGTATATCATGCTAAATTTGTTTATCATACAGTTTTTGAAGATCAACTGTTGTTGAGTGATTGTCCAATAATATTTCAAAGTTTCATGTAATTTGTAATTAAGGTTTGAATATAATATAAGAGGTAAAAATAAAAAGATTTTGAATGTAAGAAAGAAAATAATTATAATTTTAAAAATGAAATATTGAACTAAAAATTTTAAAAAAAGAGTGTCCAGAGAAGAAGCAAAAAGAAAAATATAAAATATAAAAGAAATAATAATGATGAATAATAATAATAATAATAATAATAATAATTTTAAATAATATTAATATAATAGGGACGAGAAGAATACAGATAAGATGTGGTAGTATTCAATAATTTATAAAAAAAATAATCTTTTATAATATTAATAAGATTATTTTATAGGAGAGATAAATGGATTAAACATTTAGAAGAAAAGAATACTACATTGGAGCATAAGGTGAAAATTGCAGAAAATAGTCGAGATGAATAGAGAAGGATGTTTCAAGAAGGTGAAATAAAACACGGTGAAGTAGTTGAGAGTTTATTGGAAAGAGAGAAGGAAGAAGATGGTAATTTGTTTATTAGTAAGAAGGGTGGAAAGTGGAGGAAGAAATATGAGGAGTTGTATAAAAGAATTAAAGAAATAGAAAATTTTGATTAGAAGGTAAGTAGAACATTTTTCAGTCGTAAATGCATAAAGTATATAAGGTCAAAATATCAAGGAGTTCAAGATGAGAAGATGAAGTTGGTAGTTAAAAGGGATGAATTGAAGAATAACTTCACATTCTTGAATAGCTGAATTCTTTTTTTAGAGAGTTATTTCGTTTGGTAGTTTGTTTTGCATGTTGAAAGATTCTAAAACATTGTATAGAGGTTCTATTATCCTTTTGGTTTTATTTTCTTGATATTTCTTGTATTGTTGTTTGAGTTCAACTGCTTTTTTGAATTGTTCACAGTCTTTTTTTAGATGTTCTTCTTTGTTATAAAAGAAGCAAACCTTAGGAGCTGACTTCCATTCAGTTGTGCCTTTGTTGTCCTATAAAAAGGTATAGCTAGGATTCTTGCTTCGAGTTCTGGATCATCAGTTGTCTCAAAGATAATGACCCATTGGTCAGTTGCGTAAGGCAGTATTGAACTATGACCTAAGTCATAACATATTTTCTATATGACCTTGGTCATATGACTATATGACCTAGGTCATAAAGTCATAAGGTCATAACATTATGACCGAAGGTCATATGACTAAAGATTATAGGTCATAAATTTTAACCAATTAAAATTATATGCATGTGTAACAAAATCAAGAAAGTTGATTTATTGTTTATTACTATGCACATATATATATACGTACTACATACATATGTACATATAGTGTTGGACTATGACCTGTTATGACCTTATGACCTGTTATGATATATATAAGATTTACTATTATATTATGACCACCTTGGTCATATAAAGTTGAATATAACCCAAAATGGCCAACTGTGTATGTACATAACATATAATTTTGTCTTGCAGCATTATTTATTGAGTGAAATAGCTTAGTTCTGATTGGTATACATAACATAAATTTAGATTTACATTTTTGAAACTGTATTATTAATACTTACACTTATTATAACTTCGAAATAGCAGGTTATTACAAAGTAGCCTATGTATACTATTGTTAAATAAAGTATTAATTTCAAATTGTTAAAGCTCGATTATAAAATTAGCTAATCTAAGGTTATTTCTAGTGCCAAATAGCCATTATTTCAAAACCAAATAGCCATTTTTGAAGGATTCGATTATGAAATGATGCCTGTGTCTGTTATTTCGAGTTTTGTGACTCAATGATAAAGTTATTGAAGTAAACAAAACATGAATTCTGAAACAATAATGCCCGAAGTCAGAAAGGATAAAATAATAAATAAAAGGAAGAATTTTCTATTGCAAAGTAGAGAAAAAATCTATGATACAATACAAAAATACTGCATATATTGTTACTATGATTGGTCATGTACATGTTATTATACTTTAGTTTTTTACAAGATGGTTTAACATTAGAAGTTACTGTATTATCAGTTTACAGCTTTGATCCTTTTTGGAGGGTAAAATCTTCACGTTTATGTTTGGTTTTTAGTAAGCAGTTTTTTATAATCTTTTTTATATATATATAAAAATGATTAAATATTGATATAATTTACTCTTTTACAGTAAATTGATCTGGCTTGTTAATAAAAATTATAGAGCTTTGGGCTCAACTTCTCTGTACTTAACCACTACTATATTGAAAGCTTACTATGTATAATAAAAATTACATTTAAAAAAATCATTTTTATACCTTTTCTCATATAATAATCCATATAATTGAACCTTGGTGTTTTTTTTTCAAGAAAAATTTGTTATTATGCCTCCCTCGTATAATTTTAAAAACCATTTTACTCTAGTAAAAAATTCAAACAATCCTACAAATGCCCTCACAATATGTAAATAGTGTATAAGAAAATATGATGGATTAGGAGCAACTCAACTAAAACCAGAATGCTGCACAGTTAACAGAGCATGTTTGTGTCGTAATCATCTATCAAAATGTAAAGCATTTCATGAAACTAATAAAGAAGAAGAAGTACAAAGAGTTCTAGCTTTACCAGTACCAGAAGACAATAAAAAAAAGTAAAAAAAAACAATAAAGAAGCAGATGGTATGCAGAATTTTTGAACTAAGCAAAGATATAGTCTAGGTTATATTATAACACTGAATTATGATTCAATATAGATAAAGAATCCAATACTAATAAATCTACAGATTTGTATTCCAATTCAATAATTTCAACCTCAAGTCACTCATCTATTAATAGTTGACAATCTGCAATCATAAATTTTTTGTGTCAACCTCTTTCGGTTAATGACTAATCACTATTTGAACAATTGCTTTTAAGAATGATAGTTTCTAATGTGCTGCCCTTTACTTTTGTTGAAAATGAAGATACTATCACTGTATTTGAATTTTTAGTGCCAGGGCTTAAATTGCCTAAGTGTAAAGTTATAGGTAGTAGAGTGTTAATGAAAAGTGCACAATTATTACATGATAATATAATTAAAGTGGCCAAAGAAGACATGGATGGAGTAACTGCAACTTTCGATAGCTGGACCAACATTAAACAAGAACATATTTGGGGTGTGGTTTTTATAACCATGATCAGTCAGCCTTTAGTATAGGGAGCCAATGATATTAGTTTGAAAAGATTACAAACACAAAATGTAATTAATCATATTGAACAATTAATAGTTGAAACTGAAGAAAAACAAATAAATATTAAGGCATTTATTTCAGATTTTACAGGTGAATATGCAGCGGCATGGTAATATAATTATTTTATTTATTTATTTTTATTTGTATTTTTTTTTTTTTGAAGAAGGCTTTCTGATTTTGATTTTGTAGTTGACAATTATGAAAAAAGTATTTCTCAAAGATTTTTTTACCATGTATGGCCCATCAAACAAATTTAGTATTTGGTGAAATTTTTAAAGAGTCTAGTTAGTATCAAAGGATTTCTAAAGAAGCAATAAAAATTGTAAGTTTTTTTCGCAAGTCAGTCTTTTTTACAAAAAACCTTAGAGATGAACAAATGTGAATATACAAAAAAACAATTACATTAATTGTGCCTGGGGACATGAGATGGAATTCATATTATTTTTGCTTTCACTCTATTTTGAAGTCAAAATCTGCTCTTAAGGTATGTTTTTCTGCTTTAACAGTTATTAGTGAAATATATGCAACTGAAATTGCATCATGGGTTGATAAGAAGACTAATGTATATTTAGCAACAAAAATTAATATAAATAGTATGCAATATTAATTTTTTAGTTTTTACATAGCTTAGATTATTGCTGTTTTTGAAGTAGTTGAAAATAGTAAATAAATTTTTTTTAGCACATACTTATATACTCGTCACTTAAACACTCGATTACCTTAGCATGTTGATTGAAGATCGACACCCGAACACTTAAACATTCAATTACCTTAGGCACCTGATGTTATGTAATTGTTTCTAATTCAGAAACAATTACATAAAATTGGATATTGATCTTCACTCAACATGCTAAGGTAATCAAGTGTTTAAGTATACAAGTATATAAGTATACACCAAAAAAAAAAATTGTTTACTATTTTCAACCATTTTGAAAACTGCAATAATTTTTAAAAAAACTGTATAAAATTTTATAATTTTATGATACAAAATTAAAAAACCAATTCTATATCACTTTTTGTTTAATTTTGCAAAAACTTTTACTAGTCTAATTATTCAATATGTAAAATAATTAGTTCCTTTCTGCCAAGTTTAATAATCATCATGATGATGTCATTCGAACAGAAGGCATTCCATCTGTACTAGCAAATAATTGATCAGTATTATGTGACGGTATCTAAAAACTTTCAGATAAAATTGCCAATATTATAAATGATCCCCAGTTTTGGATAGTGTTAACTAATCTACAAGAGCTTTTATATCCCCTTTGTGGCTTTTTAAGCAAGTTACAAAAAGATACTGCTCGACTAGATGAAGTTCTTCATTATTTCGGGTATATGATGAAGATATTTGAATGCTATCAAGACTTTGAGTTTGAAGAAAAAATAAAAAAACGTATCGAATCATGTTAGAATGAATGGGAGCAACTGTTAATGATTCTTTCTTTTGCACTACATTCTCAATACAAGCTTACTAAATTCAACAGCATAAATACTAATCTATCCTGGATTCATATTGGCCAATGGCTCAAGTATTATTATAAGGCATGGTTTAATTCTAAACCTACCTCTATTTTAGCTGAATTAATTAAGTACAAGAGAGGGATTGATCTATATGATACTGAATCATTTATGCAATTTGATGGAAACTTAGTAGATTTTTGGGAATCAACTGAAGGCGTAGGTTCAGAATTAGCATGAGTAGCAATTCGTATCCATGATGTCTGTGTTAATTCTGCATCTGTAGAATGTTTGTGGTCTTCTATAGGGTTATTACATACTAATCACCGAAATCGGTTACAGGTTTAGTTATTCATGACCTAGTTTTTTTATTAACTACTATATATAAAATCCTCTAGATATCAGACCCCTCTGTGTACTATACCCAGGTCTATAACATAGGATAAAATTTTGGTAAAATGTAAAAGACCCAGGTATATAAGTAGAAATAAGTACTAATAACCAGTAATTCAGTTATCCAACTTTTGATTATCAGACTTGTATCTATACAAGAGACTAGCAGGTCTATTAATAGGTTCTAAAATTGGTAAAATAAAACAGACCTGGATCTTGTATACAGCAGTTTACAGGAATTATTTGATATTATTATTACTAAATTTTTTTTTTACCAATATGATTGATTGATTAATTGTAACAAAATTAAAGGTAACAATCATTAATTTTTTTTTTTTAAAAAAAAAGATCAAACAATCAATTATATTAAAAATTTTTGATCAATTACTGATACAGGTATATAACGTTTAAAGAACTTCAGAAAAGCAGACAAATTGCAAATAAGAGATAGTTTTATCTTATTGTTACAAAGTAGATTTTTAGTATAGCATAGTATATTATATTATTAGTAGTTGTTATATATTTATTATTATATTTTACATTATATTTATTATTAGTTATTAGCATAGTTATATTATAGTATATAGTAGTTAGAAAATAGAATCTTAATTGGCTGT